ACATTCTCTTAATTTTTCTGTTAAGTAGAAGAGTGCACTTTTTAATTTTTTTTTATTTTTCCATGCGCAATCTAAGTCTACTTTCAATAACCAACAGCTGGACCTTGTCAGCCTGCATCTTTTCACAAATCTATTGTTTGCTTCCTTTGTTGCCAAAATTAGAAGAGGAGTTTATCCCTTAATATGTCGTCAATTAGTTTATTCCATTGTTTTATTAAACTTTTAATGGCTTTAGACACTCAAAACACAGACTTTAATTCAAAAGCGTGGAAGAATGTACATTTCATACAGGACTGAAGAATATATTTAAGATAAAAACAGCACTTAGGCATACGGTGCAAACATGCTTAAAAGCTCATGTGTAAGTCAGCTACAGGACTCTTAAGACTTCTGTTTTATTGGTCTGTAACTTTGCTATACATTGCTGACTTGGAATTTTAATAGAACCACAAAATATCTTTAAGAGCACCACCGTGCTTGGAATGAAAAGGCTGTACAGGTAACTGGATCTCTCCACATAGAAAAGGTAACTGCGTGTTTTTGGTTCAGATCAGATCCCATTTTTGATAGGTTGAAAGCGTCTCGTGTAACGTCTGCTGCCAGTTAATCTTTATTTGCCTTATATTACCTTAAACAAGAAGCTAACAGCGGCTGACCATAAAACACCATTCACTTAATGACACTGCCAATTTAAACAGGAAACAATTTTTTTAATGAAGACAAATTTTCTCTGAGCAAAACAAACTAGTGAAATTAGAAACAGGATCAGATGTCATTGTTGATTTTTTAGTATAAAATTCCTAAATTATTCATTTCACTATTCTTTGCAAAACGACCCCCAGTTCATCCTACTTCTACGAAGCTCAATAGACGTTTGCAAAAATCGCAGGGAATGCAGAGACACATTAAGTGTAATGTGGGTAAACATACCTACCACAGGAAAATAAGGCCACCCAGGTTTTTCACTGAAAGGACATGGTGCAATGTAGTGCAATTAGTACAACCTCAGTATACAGCAATCCTATACAGATGCACATTAAAAAAAAAACTGAACATTTTTACAGCTATAGCTCACTCAATGCATATAGTACATGATTTTAATCACATTTTAAATAGTCAAAGGTAGGATTGATGATTGTCTGAATACTACGTTTCCTTGGGATAACAAAATATAAACTTAAAATTTGAAAGTTTCAATTTCATGAGATGTGTATGCACTCTGGGACAGATGCAAAATTTTTATTTGGGGGATTTGTTTTAAACTAAATTTTAGAGGTCCATTAGAGAACAATAGGAAGTACATGTATTTAGCACTGGCAATTATCTAAAATTCAGGAAAGCTGCATGACAATGAATCTCTGATATTTGTCGGGGATATAATGAAGATGACAGGCCAAGATCACTGCTGTATTTACAGTAGGCTTAGCTCTCTGAAATGGTAGTAACCGGCAATGAGTGGCAAAAGAAGGGAGCCACCTATTTGACTAGAGAAACATAACTCTCACTCAGGTGAGAGCTCTGTCACCACAGTTACAGCAGGTGTGAGAAGACTGGCTGGCAGGTATGCTGCACATGACAGAACAGCCCTTCTTTGCCCTGAGTCGAACTTCTTAACTGTCCTCTAGAGTTCCCTATTTAAACCAGGCAGATTCAATAAGGGGTTTGATTTAAGGCACTCACAGTGAACATTATGCCCATGCTGCCTGTAAGATTGAGGCTGTCACAGCCTTTGAGTAAGACTCATATAGTGCACTTCCTTATTTCATTTTGTCTTATTTGGTCTATAATAATGTTTTCAGTTTTGCCAGATTACAAAGGCAGAATGGATAAAAAAAGCGGAATTAGCAACAGTTTTGCTAAGAACATATACTGTATATATTATATAGTAAAGGCATGTCATAAACCTATGAAATGGAAAAGAGTAAAGAAATATAACCTCTCAGAGTTTTATTTGATTGCTACCACGTGGCAATGGAAATTTAGCTGTCAGAAACTTACCTTCACTGAAATGCAATCTACTGTATGATTTGTTGTTGGATGCTTTGCATCCCAAGCATCAAAACTGTAAACCCCAAATTGTCGGTGATGATGTGATTATTTTCAAGGACTATCACAAAACAAATTATCTCTCCAGAGCACGGATTCTTTCCATATTAGTTGAAATTACAGCACAACCTGCTCAAATTTTAAAGTAGGAACTGGTACCACACAGGATTTTAGAGGATACAGGCTAAGGTTAATAACCAAGTCTCTAGAACGTTGTCAAAAACTGAACTCAGACAAGAGATAAATATGTCATAAACCTCTGCAAATGCCTACAGCTGGGTTTACATGCAATGTGTTGCATTTCCCAACTCCACAATGAGAAAAATCGAACTGGGTTTTCTTTTGTTTTTCCTTGGTGCTTCTCAATACTCAAATTGCCCTCCTTTGATATTACAAGCTACTCGGCACCTCGCAATTTCCCAGTGAAACAAATCAAAAAGAGGGAGGGCTTGTATCAACCGTGATAACAGTTTGCTCTGTTTGGTCAAATTCAAATCCTCAGACCGAGAACACTTAATTAAAAAAACTGTATAGGCATAGGAATTGTGCTCATTTATTAAACCCATCAATGACCCAGCCATGTCTGGGAAGGGGATGTTGTCTCCACCACAGACTTGTTTAGTTGCAGTATAAAGAGACACCGCCCTCACAGCTCAAAGAACCGTGACACATATTGCTGACACACACTTGAGTGTTTTGGCCAATAAAACAATAGCAATGAGTAATGGGTTCTCATGGAGTGGTAGGGGTGGGCAGGAGTGCAGTCGGATGAAAGACATAACAAATTGTCTTCTTGTAGAAAATATTTTCCCATCATCAGAGCTATGTGTGCTAAGTGTATCATGTTGTTAATTCACACAGACAGCATCAGCAAGCGGACAGAAAATGCTGCCCCGTTAGTCCAGTTCCAGACACAGAAGTACAATTACCCAAATATGTATGGATGGAGACGAAAAAGAAAAGAATAACAACAAAAGAAAGCCCAGGGCAGTCCTCGTGCACCCCTTTATGAAACAATGGGAAAAAAACCACGAGAAAAGACTCAGAGTAAAGGGAGCAAGATAACAATTTCATTTCCAGCTGTGCAATGGGGCGATCATGACAAATGCTTTAAGTGTTGGTCTCTGCTGAGAGGGGGATCTCAGCAGCTGGGCCCTGTAAAGACAACAGACAGCCACAGTCCCTTTCACAGCTGCAGGCAGAGGGCTTGAGAGGGGCAGTGGTGTGTCCCTAACGCCACTGCCCGCTGGAACGGCTTCGCTGTGCACCCCTCTGTGCCCCTGCGTCACAGCTGTCTCACAGGGGCTGATCATTACCAAGCCAACTCCTGCCAGATAGTAACAAGGAGTGAGAGAAAGAGAGAGTGGGAGAGAGACACTATGTCTCTCGCAGGATTTTTTTCACCTCTTTTCTGTGTTCATACTGCCGCCTTTTGGGTATGAAAAGTAAAGGCCAGGAAAAGGGAACTTTTTTTTTTTTGCTCCAGCAGTGGAGTTTTGTAACATCACCTCGTTATCCTTTTCTTACATTTATAGTATATCAGATGGAATAAGATTTGGGCAAAAAGAAGAAAAAATAAGACCATCTGCTATCCCTATGGCACAAGGTTAAATCATTTCAATTCCCTCTGAATGTTCAAAGTAAAAAAGTCACCAAGAAAGTTGTGGTAGCTTTACCATCATGCATCCCATTGCCTGCTTTTGTAAATATATGTAAACCAGCACATTGTTTGCCTTCATAATTACTTCTCTACAATTCCTAGGTGTACAAATGATAAATCTGCCTTTACACCTACTGTAAATAAGCTTTATCCTTAGAAACACCAGTTTTTTTGCCTTACATTTTAAAACTTACAGTCATCGTTTTTTAATTTGAATTTCAGAGTTCATGTACAGTATCTGCTAGAGTGGATTTCACAGATGATCTTTTCACAGATATCACTTTTCATCATCAAACTATCAAGATGTTCACTACCTGCCACCCTATTTTCAAATCCATACACTTATGTTTTAGAATACAGCACTGGGACTGCTCTGCCATACCAGGCGAACTCTCACTTCACCCAGATAAGACCCTTTCACGTCCTTCCTTCTATTTTCTCCAATTAGGGGTTGTGAGGCTGACAAGCAAGGGGCGCAAGGCAAGCTACACCCTGGACGGCACGGAACTCCATGGCAGGAGACACACAGAACTGCACATACTGTACTCCCAATCCTGCCAATTTATTTACCAGCATGTCTCTGGACTGTGGGAGATAACCGACGCAAATGAGGGCTGAACACACAAACTCCACACGAGAACACCCCAGGTTTGGAATTAAACCCAGGGCCCGAGATCTACAAGGCAGCAACACGGACCACTAGGCCACGGTGGCGCAGAGATCAAGATTATCCTGTTTCATGTTTTTAAGTCCCAGCCTGCAGAAAACTCAATCACTGGTTCTCATCTGACTACTTTTGACTTCATTTGAGGATCTGTGCAAACCTTAGCGTGCACATGCCCTTTGCACTTGGTCAGTCATACAGAATATCACATTTTAAAGGTTCCTTTATAAACCAAAGACGTATTTACTTGGTCATTAAACATCCCATGGCACTGATCGTAAGAGTAATTGTGGTGTTTTGGCTAACCTCCACTCTGGGCTAGTACAATCTGGCCTCCTTAAAGTTCCTCCTCAAGTCATTTGCCAAAGCAATTTCTCATTCCTGCACCTGATTAGCTGTGCAGTGGTAGTGCGCCAGGCGAAAACGTAGTGTGTTTCCTATATTTAAAGCACTTTGGTGTTGGTTTGAGATGGAAAACGTTATATAAACACAAATAATTATTCTTAGCCAATTACTAGAAAATGTTATTCATCAAGGAAAAAAACTCATCTTAAACTGAGTGTAGATTTAATCAAAATTCCTTCACTGTATTTCAGCCCTTGATATAAAGGAGAAGACTTAAAGACTTACCTGTCCATCCTGACCAACATGGACTTGATGTATCTGCAGATTGCCCTAAAAACAACAAAAAAGGTTTCTTAGTTTCAACAAAGCATATTTAAAAACAGCCCTGGCCTACAATACCACAAGGAAGAGAATTATATTACTTGACCAGCTAACACATAAAATGCCAGAAAGAGGATGATACATATTTTTCACAAGGCCAATTAGTGTAAAAGTGTGTTGTGTAAAATTCAGTCACATGGAAAATCATTGCATTAACAAAAGAGAATGAATTTAAAATGGGCTTTTGTAACAACACTTTGTGCAAACTTGAAAAAATATTAATGTGAGGTCATATACCTTATAATTACCTACATCTGCTGTTGGCAAGGTGTTTAAATGCATTGTGAAATCGTTGTGAATTATTGAGAATTTCTTTGGGAATTCATAGAGTGACAAAAGACATATGATCTCTAGGCTGTACATTTGCTTTACATCTCCAAGATAATATATTATGTGGTAACCCACACAAACACAGGGAGAACAAACAAACGTCACTCAGACAGCACCCCAGCTCTGGAACTGAACCCAGGGCCCCCGCGCTGCTAATATTTCTCTTCTAAATGAGATAGCAAATTCTGTAAGAACAGCTGTTTAGAATGCATTCCTATTCTCTGGGAACTGATACATAGACATTTCTGGTATTGGGCTTTGGGTAAGCTTGGTCTTTAAAAACTCTTCACTAAAGAATATAATTAACAAGAGCTATTTCAGAATAACAGGGAAAAGTCGCTGCCACTGCAAAAAATCAATCACCTACCAAGTTTGGATCTTAAAAATCTGCAGCATTAAGAAATGAGACAAATAATGCTTTTGCGTATACAATGAAAAGGGTTTTGAATCCCCTCACAGTCTGTCACTTATGTTTCTCCTACTTCTTTTTCCCCTGCTTCAAGTAGGATGCACGGTGATACAACATTTGCAATGTAACATCAAACCCTTGAGCTGTGAACATTCTGTAGCACTGGATGACATTAAAGGGGAAATCTGTTGCCCATAAAGCTACAGGTATGTAACGTTACATCACATCCCTAATGTGGACATTGGCTTAAACACAAAGCATAATTTGAGACCGTGTAATTAATAATATGTAGCCATCTGGCTGCCATTTGACCTGTGTTAACTCTGTAGACAGCTTTTTCATATTAAAAAATGTTTTTTGACAATTATGAGGTTCAGTATATACGTATTATGGAAACTGGCATGCTACTGGAGATACAGTAATTCCATTAAACAGGATCATAATTTAGACTGTTTTAGGTGGGGCACTTAATGCTGAATTCATAATACATTACCATGTTGGTCAGTTTATTGTAGCCCAATTCACTTTCTGGCAAGCTAAAACTTCTTTACTTTCACTCGTTTTGGTTCTCCTTTTTAGTTTTATAAGTGCACTCCAATGGGGTGTTTTATGGACTTTTCTCTCCTTTTGTATAGCACTGGTGTGCATTCAATCTTAATTGCAATCGTATTCGGTAATACTGCCCCCAGGTATTAAGAATTTACTTGACAGGAGGTTTTTATAGTTAGAATGCTGGCTAACAAAAGTGAGCTTTTAAAAAGAGAGTTTCCCAGAGGTAATACTCTTCCTAACCCCAGTCATGTCAGTCAATTATTTCTGCTGTGGGGAATTTTGATCCACAAATGATCAGAGTGATTACATAACAAGTCACCTCCAGGTGATGTCATTCATTTCATTCATATTTAAGAGAAGAATGACTCCGGAGCTCCCTGCGTTCATTATCTGCACATTGATTAATCAACGAAATAAGGAAAGCATACCTTTTCAAAGGTGATGGGCAGTAATCTAACACATTAGAAAACTTATTTTTTTGTGATTTAACATGTCTATACTGATCCCTCTCTCTTCTGAAACACATTTTATGAAGGACAAATGGTTCCATTTATTGGTATATCTGTGAATTGTTGGGTATTTTTTACCACCAGAACGTTTAATAAGATTTTTTTGTACTGTGTATTTTAGACATCATTAAAAATATCTCAATGCTGTGTTTACTGTGTTCCAAGGGCGGCAGCATATTACAGAGGGAAAAAATAAAAAGCATATTTAAAAAAAACTTTCAACCTTATTATTTAGTGTGTTATATTGAAGGATTGTGGACTTGTTCCAAAAGAATCTGCAACAAGTAATACATTCAGTCTTTGTAGTACATGTAAGCCACAGAGGCTGAAAACTTAGGGAGGTCATCCAACCTATTTTGAAAAAAAACATCCCTCATTTGTTGAAATTGGGGCTTCAAACTGAATTGAGTAGTTTACACCATGCCAACTGAGCAGTCTACTCTCTAGTATAAAAAACATGTATTCATCAAAAGATGAGCCTACTTTTCATTGGAATGGGTTTTCTATGTTTGATGTGTGGCATGATAGCCTTTTACAGTTTTCTTAAGCAAACAACTTAAAACATTTTGATACATGTATTAGCTGAGAATTTTCACGATCAGTATTTGTGTCAATCTTGGTTACATTCTTAAAGCACCTTTTCTTAAGTTTTTAAAACCCTAGAGGGTAGGATTAAAGTCAGGGCTATGTCTGTGTAATATATGTCAGAAACGGTTGTATTGTTTGGGATGGTTACAGAGTAATGAGAAGGAAGATTAGGGATCACAAACTTTCAAGAAGTAATTCCTGATTGACGTGATTCTAAAGAGTATCCAACTACTATATGGCTACAGAAAAGTCAGGTGACTTCAAGGAAGCCCGTGGAAAGAATGGAGTGTCTTAATTTTCTGTTGGTGAGATTTTTTCAGATTTTCATGTGGTTTTTGCCTTCTGCAGTTTCTATCAGGATTGCAGATTAAAGATTTCAAGCGAGACAACTAACAGACAGGGTGAGGGTCTTAATACTGCAATGCTATTGCCCTCTTCTATCACACTGCATCACCCAAAAGTGACAAGAACAACAAAAGTATCTGATATTTAAACAAAATAAACCTTAACCCTGAAGATACATAATAGGAAATACATAATATAGGAAAGCCTAAGGAGTCTTCCTCACATCCTGAAAGGTGCACAGGCCATTGTCGCCAGAATTATATGTCTTTAAGTAGAAACCAGCCTTTGGATAAAGGAATTCAGTAACAGTAAACTGTGATTATCTTTGGCAAAACCAAATCTGGAGCCTTTATGAAGAACTTTTTGTTTCTGGCAGCAAGATTTTAAATATAAAGATGCATCCGGAAATTATGCCCATTTTCTCGAGGTGAAACATTTTTCATGCGGCAATTACACTTAAATAAACACAGCTATCAGAATGCACTGACATTTTCATTTTTCACCGGGAAGAATTACTTTCACTATACGATTAAGTGCCGATAAAGGAGAAAGGAAAACTGTATGACCAATTGATACCAATTTGTGGTCCACAGACAAAAAAAACAACTGTAATAACACTCCACACATGTTTGAGGTAAAATTAACTTCTAAATAATGAGTTTAATATTAGTTATTACAAAGCTCACGTTTGTTACCCCAGCTGTTCCCTTGATCTTTAAAAACAGAGGGCCAATGCCAAATTCAGGATGAAGTGTGTGAAACGGCTTCCAAAACTATATGATCTTTTTTAAAACGTTTCTAAGTAACAGAAATGAAATCACTCTAATCATCTGAGATCCTGGGGGAAGTTCATGCAAAATATATAATACAATAAGGAATGCGATTTATTAGAACCATCGTATTCAGCAGGACAAGGAAGGACCACAGATCTAAAGATCATTTTGGACCACAGATCTACAGATCATTTTGTGACTGGGACAAAGTGCTGTTGAGCCACTTCTAAAACCTTACATGTTGAAGATTCTTGCAAATACTGAGAAGTTGAAACAATTTACAAAGAGGATTTCAACAATGGTCCTGGAGAGCCCCAGTATAGCGAGTTTTTTTTTAAAAAACAGCCAACACAAGCCATATGTTAAATTAAAGAAACTGCTGAAGGGCATTGAGGTTTGTGTTAAAAATTATTTTAAAATTAGTTAACCTAACAATCTTAGATGATTGCAGAACTCTTCAACACTAACCTAAAGTCCATTATTTATCAAATAAATGGGCAATGGAATACCATTGCCAGGAAAAAGCTTAGTCAATTAGGAGAAATTGGACAGTGAGTTCTGAAGTAACATACAGTTTCAACTTAAATTTGTGAAAGTACAGGATGTTTCAAATGACAACTCAAATGCCTAGATGAACGGGTGTTTTAACTTGCATATTTTTGGTATTTCTGTTGGCTAAGCAACCTGCATGAATTAAATGATTCTGAAAATGAAACATTAAAAAATGAGTGCAGTGGATGGCTTTTCATGTACGTGGTAAGCAGGTACTCTGATGAAATTCTGACATAAACATTTGCCATGGTGGTGCAATTTGTGTGATGCGGAAGAAAATGAAAGATGTGATGTGATCAATGATACCCTTGGTCACAAAACACAGCAGAGAGCAGGGACAAGAAGAGTTCATTTGAGAAAATACTATAAAAATTACAACAGCCCCCAGCTATAAAGCAGCTGGCACAATTTGGATGAAGAAATGGATACAGAAGTTGAAGACTTTGTTAGTATCTCACCTCACTATCCTGTGTGATCTGCACCTGTTCGCCCTGGGGAACCTGAGCAATATGGAGATGTCCCTGAGGGATCTGTGTAAAAGGAGTTAAATCACAAACATTAACACAACAGCACTTTCCCACTGGCACTTGCAACACAAGGCAGTAACAGTGAATGGCACAAGGCTGAAAACCAATCTATAAAACAATAAAAGCCCTTTCCTCCCTGAGAAAATTCCTCACCAGCTTCTTTTTCCATAGATTTCAAACTATAAATAAACCATAACCACAATACTTTACTATTGATGGAAAGAGGAGCTGAGAACTAAGCTCGTGTATGTTTCTGTATCATTTAACCCACAATTCAGGCTAAAGAAATTGAAACGGGAATTTGTTTTGACACACCACAAGCGAAGTCAGCTTGTACATGAAGTCAAATGGAAGTTGATTACAAATGTAGTAATATTCCTGTCTCTCATATGACATGGAAAAATTAAAAGACTCCTGTTGATTAAGGAGCTGAAATCTTTTAAAAAGCAAAGGGATTCAAAACTAAAGAGAGCCACAAATAAGTGGTTGAAATAAGCTTCAGTGACATACTGAATAACAGCTGTAATGCACTAAAACAACAGGAGTCATCATGGATTCACACTCGGGCTGTAAGAAATTAAATTTAATCAAACAGGCAGCTGGCAAAAAAAAAAGTTTACCACTTGCTGAAAAATAACAAAAACATATTTCACAGAAAGCAGTACAAGACATTGGCTTCTGGCACGGACAACAAAACATGTTAATGTTACAATTATAAAACTAAACAACACACAATATTTTTATTGCGCCTTTATGGGCCAGTGCTGTGTTTCAGTGGTATTAATTAAAAAAATGAAAATGAAGCCATAGATTCAGTGCTTCTAAGTCTTTCTGCATGTAAGTGCTTAGCTAGTTACTGTGGTCAATGTATTTTGCAACACAGCTCCAAATGAGAGAACCATGGCACTTTTAAGCTTTTCCATTTGCTTTCCGCCTTGAGAATCAATTAGTCTAACTAGCAAGTAGCTCAGAAGAGTGTCCCAAGGACAGCGCCTGGGAAAAGATAAGCACATCTTCAGGCTGAAGTGGGGAATAATGTCACGAGGAGAACATCGCGGATGGGAGGTTGTTGAAAAGTGCCTTGGGCTCGAGCCACAAAAGCAACCTTTCTGCAAGAGGCAGGCTATGCATGAACAATTAGATTAATAACAATAGCCATGTATTAATCACATCTTAAAAGTTTTCCATCTGTTTTGGGATGATGATCCTGTCCTGATCACGTGAGTAGTGTGTGTGTATGTCTGTGAAAGACCTCACAAGTACATGTCATGAAAACAAAGCTCAAAAATAGTATTTTACTTAAACTTGATCTATAGCATTATTAAAGCCCTTTAGTCCTTCTTGTCACCTGGTGGCTTGATTCATTCACAAATCCCTTTAGAGTATAAGAGACACAGTAATGGGACTGAGTGATCACTCTCAATCAGTCCAGCTTTGTTTCACGTGGGCAGTTTTCAAATTAATTCTAACAATAATTAACAATGGTCTATGGCTTTAATGGACAGCCTTGTCAAGTACTTGAGAAACCTCCTGTTTTTCTCTGGAATAAAAGCCAAAGTGCATTACA